AACGTCGTCTCGGCTTGAGGGAGTCTCGGCAAGGGTGGGGGCGGGGCGGCGGGACGGGCGGCCGGAGATGGGAACAAGAGGGAGGGGGAGCGGAAGAGAGAGAGAGAAAAGGGAAGAGAGAGAAAGCTGAGAAGAGAGAGAATAGGAGAGAGAGAGAACGGAGGGCGGCAGGGGCGGCTGGTGGCGACGGAGGCGGTGAGGAGAAGAAGAGGTGGAGATTGTTTAGAGAGAGAGAGTGAAATCAGGGAAAAATGAAGAGAAAGAAATGAGGGTATAATAGATCAGACTTATTTGCGACGACATTGTCGTCGCAAATAAATTTAAAATGCCGTCACAAATACCCCACATCTGAAATTATTTGCGACGACATTGTCGTCGCAAATAAATTTAAAATGCCGTCACAAATACCCCACATCTGAAATTATTTGCGACGACATATTGTCATCGCAAATAATCATTCCAACGGTCAAGCTTATTTGCGACGACAAGGAGAACACATCGTCGCAAATAGAGTGGCCTTATTTGCGACGACACATGTCGTCGCAAATAAAAAGATATTTTTGACGACAAGTCGTCGCAAAAAATGGATTCCCTTTGGCGGTAAAAATCCGTGCCATTGGGAATTGCGCGCCTAAACTATTTGCGGCGACATTAAACTTATTAACGACGACATGCTTAATTTATTTAACGGGAGTTAATTGGGACGACATGTCGTCGCAAATAATTAAATATTTATGACGACAAATGTCGTCGCAAATAAGGTCGTCGTAAATGACCTTTTTTGTTGTAGTGAATATGCCAAAAACTTGGTTGTTTAAAAACTAAAAAGTATCCAAGTATTTTTGCTAAGGTAAAAAATATATATATAAATACTAATCCAAGTACGAAGTAACCAAGAAAATAGATTACAAGGAAAAAAAAAAAAAAAACAAGAAAATAGACCAAACATGTAACTACCTAGCTTTAAAGTGCGAGATGGAGACAATTCAATATGGTCCACGTTGCCTTGCTTGCTAATTGTTGCCTTTCGATTTTCAATCATCGCCATTACTGGCTCAATATTAATGCCAAATGAAATTTGAAGGAAAAGAAAACAAACTGAAGAAAATTGTTAAGCTCGGAAAGGAACAAAACCTCTTAAATGAAAAGGAAAGATGGCAAATTCCTAAATATCATTTGAGAGTTGTGCCAAGAGGAGGATACAAAGGAGCTTGCCACGTGTAAGCCACGTGTCCCAGTGCATGAGCCCCATTCCCACACGTAATCATCTCTCGAGTGTCACACTTCCCAACCCTCTATTTTACCACGTCACATTCTCCGACTCACCTCGATTTCATACGACATCGTCCACTACTTTTCGCATCAGATCATATCAAAATTATATTAAATAAAAATTATAATTATTCAATAAGTTATAACACAAGTCTGACGATTTAAAATTGTGTTTAAGGTACGATATTGTCGATTTATTGATTTGGACGTTCGTTTTGAGTACACATGGTTAGTGTGGAATTAATAATAAATCAAGATCATGAAGATCATGACCGAGTAGAGCTTATTCGTGGCTGAGATGATCTGATTTGGTGGAGGGTTGATGATGATGACGATGACGATGATGATGATGAGAAAGCCTGTTGTGGGGCCCACTTTTGCTTGTCTCCATCCTCCGTGGAAGAAGCACCCGATTTCTCCTTCCTTCTCATCGCGTACTCCTCAAAGAACTCCTTGTTCTCCTTCTCCAACTCCTTCCACACTGTCAATTAATTATACATATATGCGTGTATATGTATATGTGTATATATACACACAATTAGCCACTTAACTAACTACAGAAAGATTTTACAAACCAAAAAGATCACGAACGCACACATGTATGAACTTTTAACGGACGATGGTGATCAATCTTAATATATAGCTCCAACCACGACATATATATACACACACATACATATATATAACTTGCACATGATATCAGTATTGCATGTAGACTGTATATGTATATATATATGAGAGTGATGCATGATATATATATATATATATGTATATATACCTGTGGAGGTAATGACTGGTTTGATATTTGCATGCTTTGAGAGGGCTTCCATGCACTCTTCCTTGCTCATGTTGAACACTATGCACTCTTCTATCAGGTGGTGCACCTTAATTCACATAAAACATACATGATCATACATAATCACATATTTAAGATCATCATAGCTAGTGATCATGATCATGATCAAAACCAACACACGCAAGAAAGTGTAAAGATTGGTATATTTAGGAGCGCATCTTACCATGTGAATATAAGAAGCAGACGATTGATCCCCCATATTATATATATGTGTTTTAAGTATATATATATATATTCTAATTTGCAGTTATAAATCACTTGTGTATATATATGGGATAAAAAAACATATAGATATAGCTAGAAGATAGAAGAAACTAAAGGGAGAGGGAAAAACAACAGAATGGATGAGTAAAGAAAGGAAAGGTGGTAGGAAGATCAAGAGAAATTTGTAGTTGGGTCTAATGAATTGCTTATGATTCAACCAAAAAGGGGTGTGGGTTATAATTATAGGGCATTTACCAACTGCATCATTACATGGGGATTTTGGAATATTATACTATTATTTTACAAAATAGATATATGTATATAAAAATGTAAAATGAATAAAGAGGGCAGGTGATTGTATGTTATGTCACGGAGAGGGTTGTGGGGTCCAGTTCCCACGTGGGAGGAGAAGGGTGATTGGTGGGGAGGGGATTAGAGGAGATTCTTTAAGCAGCCCTTGTCTGTGTCCTACGTGGCCAATTTGCCACTCTCCACGTGAAGTGTGGGCTCCACCTCTACGCACTCTTTTGTCACCTTTCTCTTTTAATTTTCTTTTTTTGGGAATATTAAATTATTAATTGGGACTCAAATAAATATTCCTAAAGAGGCGTGCACACCTTAAACAATAAACACTGCCAACTGTGCAGTGCCCGCACCCCTCCCCAGCAGGCAACTTGGGGCCCACTGCCACGTAGGAAATATCCATTCAAATTTTTATACTTTCAATTAACCAACGGCCTCCTTTAGTGCCGTGACCTCCTCTCACTCATATCCTTTCGAATGGTTTTGGTCAACTCATTCTCATTGGACTTTTTCTAAACTTTTTAAGCTCCTTTTAATTCGAATCATAACCCTCAAAAAATTTAAATTCAATTTTTTTACTTAATATAAATTTATTTTTTAACTTAAGTCCTTAACTCAATCGAGTAAAATAAACGAGACTTAAATCGTCAAATTTTAACATTAGATAGGAGAATGAGTATTCGTGCTATTTAATTTTCGATTATAGAGGACATTATAGATGTTATTTTATAAGTTGATATATAGTGGCAAATGTTTGTGATGTTTCCCATGTAAGGAATTCTGTAGCGACTGATTTGGCGAATTTTGTTATTTCTCAATTATGTGATTTTGTGTGGTTTGATTTCGTGCCTCTTTTCTTAGATGATTTTGTTATAGTGGACATGTTGTTTGAAGTTAATGGAAATCATAAAATCATTCCACTTTTATTATTTTTTTTTTTTTTTAAAGAAATGAATAAGAGTAAAGGAATTAATAGTGGAAAGATTTTACTTATATATATGTGTTTGGAAAGAAGAAATAATAAGCAGTTTTAATCCCTATCAATTTCAATATAGATTTTTGAATGCACTCAATTGCATTATATATGGTATTAGATTACATTATCCCTCACTATTGAAGAAAATCAAACCAATTAAGAATAAAGTATCTAGTGTAGGAACAAATTACAACCTTCTCTCTCTTGCCTTATACCAATTACCAAACAAGAAAACTGTTTCCCTTCCTTTCTTTTCATATATATATATATATATATATATATATATATATATTTTTTTTTTTTTTTCTCCTTCCTAGTTACCAAATAAAGCCAAAATATGCAAATTGATTCCCTCTAATCCTGTATTTGATGTTGATTGATGACCACCCTATCTAGTAAGACTGTATACAGTAACTGTTATGGCATTAATGTGATAAATGTGATTGGCCCTGGCAATTTTATGTCTTATTCTTAGGACATGAGGATGTTTGTGCACGTTTTTTTTTTTATTCCAATCTCCTGTTTAATTTTTCTTACCTATTAACCAATCAGATTATGTCATGTTATTTTATGAAATCAAACATGAAAGTAATATTTTAAATTTGGTGACTTGACATAATGTGATTAGCACCGACACCGAAATTGAATAGATGATTCGAGTTATTTTTCTCTCTGTTGAATAAGTTAGTGGTGATAATTCTGATTACAACATAGTATAGTATACATAATTAACATGAAATTAACTCAATTTTTTTTTGACAACATTAGTCGTGATAAGACCGATATGAATAACGTTTTCACTAAATAGATGACTAATTAAACTTAATTAGACCAACACAGATGACTAATTAAACTTAATTAGACCAACACGACTGTAAACAAGTCATGATATGAGCACGACCTAAACTACCTAGATAAAATTAGAGACTAATCCATAAGGTAAAAACATTTCCTTAATTCCCAGCAATCTGTCTACACATACCACTTATGATACATGCATGTGAACCTTTATCATGCTTTGGATTATATATGTTTGTTTGTGCAAGAATATCTACTAGATCTTATCCTTGCCGTAATAAAGTAAATTAATCATCAGTTCTTCCCGATACATAGTAAGGCCTGACTACATGTCTTAGCTTCTAAAAAAATAAAAATAAAAATAAAATAAAATCAAAAAGGTCATCGACACATTAAGAAAATGAGATGCCTAACGGGATGTATTTCCTTTTTCTCTCGAGACATTTTCAAGTTCGACTCAAAAGTCTGACGGTTAATATTTTGTGGCGGCACGAAATTGGACCCGCCCTTGGAATAGAATTAGATTATGTCGTTTATATTTTATTGATGGGTCGTGTGATTTCTAATATAACCGATAAGAATAAGGACGAGATATTGGACCCACCTTTAGAAGAGAATTAGATTATGTCGTTTCTGTTTTATTGATGGGTCGTGGAATTTCTAATATAATCGATAAGAATAAGAACGAGATGACACTAATAATTTTTGTTTATTAGAAAAAAAAAAGAAGTGCATCCCCTAGTAACTTAAAGACGTGTATCTACTCCAAGTAGCAGCCCAGTTGCTCAAATATTTTGGCCTTATCTCTCACTTGCTTTGGCTAGTGCTTGATTATGCATGTGTATCGCCTTTTTTGGGTCCCGATTGTATGAACTAATTAAAGAAAAAGGCCCTCAACAGTACTTGACGAATTTTGTTACTGCTAAACTATAGGACTTTGGTCCATCAATTTAACTGCATGCGTGCCACGTTCCATAAGAATTGTACCTAATTAAGGGTTCGTTTAGTTCGTTGATTTGAGTTTTTAATTCGAGTTGAGATGTGACTTTATGTAAGAGCTTTTTACTGGACTAAAAAAGTTAGATGTGATTGTTTTTTAGAGCTTTTTACTGTAACAAATTTGAATTTTAAACTCGAATCGGTGAAATGATTATGGCCTAAAAGAATACATGCTACATCAAACATAAACATTTGTACAAATGGACTGGTGGTATCAAATCAATATTGATCTATACTTATGTGATTTGCAAGATATTAGCATTTAAAACATGTGACTAGATCAAGATAGCATTCACTATCCACTCTAATTCCACCAATGTGATACAATGGACGGAGTCAGAAAAATAAATGATCGAGGGATGGATAAATTACGGTCGTGTTTCGAATTGATCTCGTTTTTATTTTTCACGTTTTTCGAGAAAAAAAATGAAAACATTTTCAAAACGACATTTGGCGCAATAAAGAAAAAAAACAGAAATGAAACGATTTTTTGGTTTAGTGTAAAATGAGAGAGAAATGAAAAACGACTTTTAGTCATTTTTTATTTTTTGTTTTCGTTTTCTCCTCTCTTGAGCAGAAAGAGAGAAAGAGAGACATTAATGAGTTTTTTTACACTGAAAACAATCTCTTGATAAAACTATCAAATGCATTTTCAAAAATAATTTATGTCTGAGATTGAAAACGTTTTCATTTTCATACAAAAAATAAAAATCATTTTGGAACGAATTCCAAACGCGCCCATAATTTTTTATTTTTAGGGGTATATAAACTAAAAATTTTAGCAAACTATGTATACAACCAAATTAAAAGGAAAAAGAAAATTCAGACGGAAAAGTCGCCTATCCTTAATCATATGTAGTTCCATCTATTTATAATACGGTGCACACTATACATGTCCTAAAAGATCAATGCCGCATTCATTTTACCGATTCGAGTTTTATTATAATAAAAAGTTCTTAGAAACAGTTACATCTAACTTTTTTACTACAATAAAAAGTTATCACATAAAGTCACATCTCAACTCGAAACAGCGAACTAAATGGGTCTCAAGATAATTCTGTAGTTTTTGGAGGAATACATGGATTTCAGATCATTTTGGGGCAACATGAAAATAAATAGGTATCAAGCAACATCATTGGTCCAGCACAAAAATAATTCAATTATTTAATCTCAAGAGAAGTAAATAACTAGATTGTCCCACCCTCATATTCCTTCATTAAGAAAAGTTAAAAACAAATGGCACAACAAATGTTATATTATAATGTATGTGTGTCTATATATAATATCTAGAGAATTCTTTGCAATGTTCTTACAAATAAACCGTGTAAAACGATCAATTAAAAAAAAAAATCTAACTAACTGTTGTTGGTTCTGTTATCAGTTTGGTATTATACAACTCTCGACCTTAAAGATCTTCATATAATTTTACTAAATTTCGTTACATATATATATTTTATTATTTTGATAAGATTCTAATGTAATTTGACGGATTTGAATTGACTAGTATCCTAGTGGGAAACACTGATTAAGGAACGATAATGATAAAGTAATATAGATGTGGATATAGATATGAATATAACAACGCTTATAAAATAAAAGTATGATCCAAAAAATCTTTTCACGATATCCCGTACAATATAGAATATAAATTCCACAACTGCCATTAATGATTCTTATATAGTTTTATAACGAAGGTATCTCACTATAAAATCTCCGATATATATTTATTGATGGTTACTTTAATATTTACTTATTGATGAATATCTTTATTTTAATTATAAGATATTAATTCAACGGTCATAATAAATTAGATAATTAATTAAAAAATTATAATAATTAATGAGATTAAATTCTTATCACGCTTAGTGTAATATTTCAATATAGGGCATGATGATAGCTGCTGTTTCTTCACGGTTACAACATTGAAAGGGACGTTATCACCAGTTGCCACAATTAGATCTGTTCCAGTTTTTACGCAATTTTGTCTCAAGATCTCATATCCCTCGTGCTTGTGCAATGATCATTTTCAGCCTAATTAAGCAGTACGTGTTATTGTGTAATTTACTTTGATAATGTGGCGTGCTAGCGCGTATGTCATGATTCTCATCCCTATCTTAATGGCACTACAATCTTATTCTACTTTTTTCTTTTCTTCTCCATTTTGGGGTTTTGTTTTCAAATGCATCTAAAATCTAAATTTGGTATTAAGAGAAAAGATATAGGTTGTTTTTGTTTTTGTTTTTGCATTTTTGAGTTGAGTTTGAGTTATAACTTGAGTTGAAGTTGTAACTTGAGTTTGTGTTTGGACGTGCACATTTGAGTTATGATTTGAATTGAGAATCTTTTTGAGTTTGTGTTTGGATGGGTCAAAACTTAAATTTGTATTTAGATATTATTTTAATAAAAACTCAATGGTGATGAAAAATTTTAATAGGGTACATGGGTGAGGTTTTATTCGTCTTTTCGTTGTGAATGCATAGAAAAAAAAATCATCTCAATTAGAATTAAAACAAAAAAGTTATGACATTTTTAAGAATAGAAAATATATTGTTCATTAACTTGAGTTCGAGTTTATGAACTCGAGTTGAAGGGAAAACTTGAACTCAAGTTTAGCCCTAAACTCGAGTTCAAACTCAAATTTTATAAAAGAACATGAACTTGAATAAAGTTGTAACTCAAGTTCAAACTTTTTCTGAGTTTCGTTCCAAAAGAACAACTCCATATATATAATCTTAGGAAGTTTCTCTAGTGGGCTTGACACACCGATAGTGTTAATTTTTAACCGATGGATCATGTCAAAAGCACATCATATTGAAAAAATATGAAAAATAAATAGTTTTTAATACACATCTGACGGTTGAAAATAAATAACTATGATAATTTAATTTTCTGGTCCTACCAGATAAGGTCTCATAATCCTATGGTGACTTCATAACCTTTTTCATTTTGTCTACTTTTGAGCTAAAAAACTAGATACAACTTGCACCTTGTGAAGCCATGTGATTGTCTGACTTGTCTGCTTTTAGTTGTTTGTGGCAATTCTTGGTAAACGAGACAAAAATCACTTCAAAAAGGCCCTTTCTTATTTTGGCCAACTCAACTTGAGACTCCAACACGCCAGATTTCCCCAGTAAATAATCAACTTATCTGCTTTAGTTGTTTGTGGCAATTCTTTGTAAAGAAGACAAAAATCATTTCAAAAAGGCCCTTTCTTATTTTGGCCATCTCAACTTGAGACTCCAACACGCCAGATTGCCCTAGCAAATAATCAACTTATCTCCTCATAGATTCTTAAAACAAACTGTTTCCAACAATGTTACAACAAAAGACAACGCACAAGGCTGCGGTTCTCATCCTTGGGAGTATTTTTAGAGATGGCTGGTTTCCACATTGTTCAACAAAAGACATCGATATTAATGCGCGTATGACATTTGCAAATTATACCATACACATGATCCTTTTTTTTCACTTCAGAAATCGAAAAAGAAATCATGATGACTAATACAACTTGGAATGGAATACAGAAGAAATCTTATATACCTTTACTATACCGAAGAAATCTTACACTTTGGAATGGAATACATGAGTAAATGCAAGTGAAAACAGAAACACTCATCTTTTCGCTATCTATCCCACTTTTGCGGGTACCTACATACTTCATATCATGTCGGTATTTCTCAATTAAAAGTGTTAGCTACCCCTTCTCATGTCTCTCGTGAAAAAGGGATGTCTTAGCGCTTCCCTTGCCTTGAGTCGCTCCGCCGGGTCGTACCGTAGTAGCCCTTGCAAAAGATCAATCAAGTCGCCGGCAGAGTGATCCACGTGCTGCATTATTAGGTTCTGCAACAGGAAGTTACAAACTAGCGTTTTAGACTCACTTGTGCATGGATGGAGAAGGGCAGAAGGAAGAACGTGAAATTTAAATGTAATTACCGGCAGACGGGGCAATTTCCAAACTGCCCTCATGCTCTCTCTTGAAGTTGCACTGTCAGGCCAATCTAACCGTGCACCTCTCCTGAAGTATTTCTCAGCTCGGCGGCTGCATTAACAGGGTCAAGTACAAGTAGCCCGTATAAGAACTTAAGAACCTTATCTGAAAAAAACAAGGCAGCAAAAAAAAAAAAAAAAAGAGAGCAAGAACACTAGAAAATGCTCTTACTCGGCTCTGAGCACCATATGTTGGGGTAATGGCCCCAAAACCTTCTCCATCATGGCAAGATGTTCCAGGTTTTCATGCGTCTGAAAAAGGGCCTCACCCTGTTCATAATAAAAGAGACTCGCCGTTAACCCGTATTTCAAACTTAATCTTCCTTCAATTATTCACTCAAACCAGCAAATATCATCACAAATTTGATAAATTGCTCATAAACATGGGACCAAATACTCACAGAGCAAAGTTCAACAAGGATGCAACCTACGCTCCATAAATCACAAGGATAGTTCCATCCAACGCCTACAGAGAATTTTAAAAGTTACACTTCATAAGATGAGAATTATAATACTCAAACAGGAGGTTTATGGAGGGAAACAATACTTACCCAATATAACCTCAGGTGCACGATAGTGACGCGTTGACACTACATAGCTATGATCCTGATGTTCATATGTTGTACTCCCAAAATCAATGAGTTTGATGGCGCTTGACTTAGGCAGACTCTTGAAATAGGATCCATCTTTAGCGGACCTTGATAGAAACTTCATTGCAATCAAGACAGATCAAGAATTAGACAACATGAGCATTTTAATTCTGCCTACAGAAAAACTTGATTGAGTCCTATAAGTCTTATGATCCTACAAGTTACCAACAAGGATGCATAATAAATCATAAAATAAAAAAGAAGGGAATTTCCTCTGTCCCAAAATATTAGACAATTAAGTGTATAACATAAGTATGATAACATGTTAGTAGATGGGGAAACAAGAGAAATAAAGTTGTACCTTGCAGTCAGGCACCTTGATGTACTCTGAGGAAACAAGAAGAATATTTTCTGGCTTCAAATCAGTATGAATGAGGCATAAATCATGCACAACTGCAAAAGTGCCAAGGCAAATGACTCAGTCAGGGAGTTGAATTAATCATCATTGCCATTACCAAAACAAACTTGTACAAACAAAAACTTAAATTGCATTTAAATCCAAATTTAGAATTGAGAAATAATCGGTATGGCAATGACACGTGTATCCATGCCAAATCTCAGGTTTATTTTAAACTTGTTTGAGGAACAAGCTGAAAATAGGTTTTCCTAAATTCTGCTTCTCATAATTATTTGAAAGAACTTAGATATGATGGTTCAAGAATTGTCCACACACATGCTACAGACTCCAAAATTTGCCTTGCAAGCTCCCGAACAAGATCAATGGGAAAAGAACGATAGCTGTTTTTGCGAAGAAAATCGTATAAGCTTGGTCCAAGCTTCTCAAATACCTGTTGCAACCATTTAAATTCATCCGCAAGTTTTTTCACTTACAGAATATTCAGGCATCAGGGAACATAGAACATCCCCCTCAAATGAATCAAATCAGGAGTACCAACAGATACTTACAATACAAATATGATTACGATAGTCAAACCAATTCCGTATTTGCACACAACTGCAAAGAATAAAACCGCTTATCCCAACATCGACTATAAATTACAACCAACAAAGAAAAACAAAGAGAATAAAGCATGCTTACCGAGAGCCACCAACATCATGTCTGGCAAGCCTCTGCAGGACGTCAATTTCAATCATGGCAGCTTCACGATACTTAGGTATGGAGCGAACAATTTTAATGGCAACAACCTCCTTCTTTTCATCGTCGAGACATTCCAACACTTGCCCAAAAGTCCCTACAAGAGTCCAATCCAAGAACCATAATTAGTAAAGATAACCCAAATCTATCCATCGAAACTCCAAAACATTGAAATGCTAATATGAAGGAAAGAACCCCTTTTTTGCATGAAGGTATTCTTTCACCGTGGATGCATTAAAATACCAACCTTCACCCATTTTGCTGAGAATCCTGTCTGCAGGTATGACAGAAAAAAGGCATCAAACGAATTATGAGCATCACACACTGATAAAGAAACATAAAAAATGTGCAAAGAACAGAAAAATTCAAAAAAAAAATTTTGAAAAAAACTTACAACGTGGGGTTAAATTTTCTCCAATGGCAAACATGTAATGACCATCTTTATCATCAGGTCGCCAAGGAGGGGAACCATTACAAGGCGGTTCCCTGTAAAACATCGATGAATAAGCATAATTCGGCAACATTCCATTCCCAAACTCTTGCACGCAGTATATTGCCGGCAGAACCTGGATTAGAATTTGTATAATCACACACCAAATACCATTCAAATCCGCCATAATTCAGACAATTTCTAAAGCCATAATTCAATTTCAACTCCGCTCTGCGCTAAAATTTTCAACACCCATATCAAAAATCACACACCAAATACCATTCAAATCCGCCATAATTCAGATCATTTCTAAAGCTATAATTCATTTTCAACTCCGCTCTGAGCTAAAAATCCATATCAAAAATCACAAATTATGTTCGATAAAAGCTTTCTTCTTCTACAATAAAGATTTAATTTTAATTTATCAGAAATGCAAAGCAAATTGGCGAATAAAAATCAGGATATGAAATTGAGGATAAATAAATTACACAGTCCAAAAAACCATTCAAATCTCCGAAAAATTTCAGATCATTCTTAAACATTTTCAATCAGAACGCATCAGTGACTGAAATTCTCAACAATCCAAAGTGAAAGCTCACAAGCTGACATTTGATGAAATCCGTTTTCTTCGGTAACAAAGATCCAATTTTTATTCATCAGAAACGTAACAAAAATGAAATTGAGAATACGTAGAGAGAGAAACCTTGGGAGGTGGAAGAGGAGGAGGCATGTCCCAAGTCAAACGAGGTCTCTTCCTGGGACGCTTGTCCATGTTCTTGTGCGGGAACTCCATTATCCTCTGCGTCTCCATTCTCTCTATTTTTTCCTCCGAGAAAATTCCAGAGAAAAATTCCAGAGATTTTGAACAACGATTGAGCTTCTGAGAATGGAAAATTCGCGGAAAGGAAAATCCTTGACGAGGAAAAAAAAGAAGAAGAAGAAAATGAAAAAATTTAGGTAAGCTTGGCGGAAGAAGGAGCGAGATCTGGGAAGAAAGTAAAGGCAATGGCGGAGGAGGAGTTAAGTTAACCCTTGGTTAGGACTTAACCCGGATAGGAAGGCGCGTTTCTAACCATGGTTAGGCGATGGGTGAAAATTGAGATGGGACAAGAGTGTGGGTCCGCGCTTTTTCTTTATTCACCAATGGCCCTCAATTTTATGGTCGTGCAAACTTTATCTCTTAGATTAGAATTATGAGATTAAAATTATTTTTGATTTACGTATATTTTTTATGAGAGAAAATACTATAGTGAATTATAAATTATGATTCGAATCAGGGTATAAATCTCCTTACCAACGTCACATTAAATTTTAAAATTTGTTGTTTTACTCTTTAGACGTTGTGAGTCTGTTTAGTTTGTTAATTTAAATTTTTAATTAGAATTGAGATGTGACTTTATATGAGAGTTTTTTACTGTAATAAAAAAGTTAGATATGACTATTTCTAAGAGATTTTTACTGTAGTAAAATTCAAATTCTAAATTCAAATCGATAAAATGAACGGAGCCTAAATTAATTCCCCATAATCTTTTCTATTGAAACAGACAGAAAAATTAATTAAATAAGGTCATATGGTGTTTTCTTTTCCAATTTGTAATTGAGTAAATATTTAACATAAGAGGCTAAGAATGATTAATTCAAAGTTCAGGAAGTAAAGCAACAAATTTTAGGGGACCAAATGAACTGCCCTTAAACTTTAAAGGATGAAGTGAAAATCATCATGAAGATGAGATGTACTTGTGAGAAATAATGGTTGTGTTTGGAATTGATCTCATTTTTTTCACATTTTTCAGGAAAAAAAAAATGAAAACGTTTTCAAAACGGCGTTTGACGTAATAAAGGCAAAAAAACATAAATGAAAATGATTTTTTAGTTTAGTGTAAAATGATAGATAAATAAAAAATGACTTTTAGTCGTATTTTATTTTTTATTTTCGTTTTCTCCTCTCTTGAGCAGAGAGAGAGAAACATTAATGGGTTTTTTATACTGAAAATAATCTTTGATAAAACTACCAAACGCATTTTTAAAATTGATTTTTGTCTGAGATTGAAAACGTTTTCATTTTTATTTTCATACAAAAAATAAAATCATTTTAGAACGAATTTCAAACACGTCCAATAATTTTTCCTAATTTTTACCTAAATACAATTTTTTCGCTTAGGTCTTTTAAAGTCCAGAAAGTATTTCCTCTATTTTTCAAAGCACGTAAAAAGTAGCACTTCTTTTAACTTTTTTAGTTTAATTTTTTGTAATGTCTAATGGTCTTAGATATTCTACATGTTGTCTAAATTTGTGTTGAGCTATACTTATTTGAACAAGTTTTTTTTTTAATTTTTTTCATTTTAAGAGGAAAGTGTTTTTTTTTTTAAAAAGACCTAAATTTTTTTTGGGAGAAAGAGGAAAATAGGCCAAGACTTGAGATGAATTAAAATTAATAGGCCAATAGTTTACATAAGTTAATAAATAGGCCAAATTATTATTTTCGTCCATAACTTGTCTGGTTATGAACCATAACTTGACAAGTTATTGTCCATAATTGTCTATAACTTGTCTGACTATGAACCATAACTTGACAAGTTATGGCCTATTACTTTCTATAACTAAAAATTGACCTATATACTTTCTTAAACTTTTCATATTGGCATATTTTCTACTATTTTCTATTTTTTTTATCACGTTAGTGGTACTAGACAATTCTACGTGTGGGTTTAAAGATTTCAAAATGTAGTGTAATGTACTGCATAGTAAACTATTTGCCCCATACTATTAGAGTGACAAGACAAATTTATATTTTTTTTTTCTTTTTAAACATTTCCCTTTCTTCTTAAAAAGAAAAAAATAACTTGTTCGAATTGTTGTTATAAATTTCCTTCACATTGTTGATTGTCTGAATGTAAAAGGATCACTTGAAAAAAAAAAAAAAAAACTAAGAGAGGTGTTTAGAAACTAGTATAGCCAATACAAATTTGAATAATATAAGAATATTTATCGGTAATTTGATAATTTAAAAAAAAAAAGTAAACCAAAAAAGTTAAAAGAAAAAATATTTTTTTTTGTCTATTTTAAAAAATAAAGGGGTTATTTTTTAGATTTTAACTTAAGAGTTAAAGTTGTATTTAAGTAAAACTCAAATTTTTTTTGAATTTTCTCATTTTTAAGAGACCGTAAGGTTTGTTTCAAATTTGGATGAAGAAGAAGCCCGTTGGCTATGTTTGACCGGTCCTTTGATTTGTTGCCGCGTGTTATATGGGTCTACAAAGACGAAAGTTGTAATTAATTAATTAAATTTAATAGTGAAATTTCAATGCCTTTTATTAGAATCTTATATTAGTTGGAGATATTGATATGATCCACTTAATAAGATGATAGTAATCATTCCTTAATAAGTCAATTTTATTAGGTTGAGTTAGGCCTAATATCCTTTAATTTTTTGCCTAATTTTACAATGTTGGGTCCCCCAATATCGACTTATTCGTAGCGGTTTGGCATGGTCCACGCTGTGCGTGAAGGGACGTATTAGAATCCTACATTGGCTGGAGATATTAGCATGATCTAACTTAATAAGGTGAGGGTATTCCTTCTCTAACAAGCCGATTTTGTTAGGTTGAGTTAGGCCCAATATCTTTTAATTTCTCTAAAACTTTTCAACCAAAAAAATATAACAATAATTATTTAAAACAAAACAGCAATAATACATTGAGCTAAAATAATAATAATAACGAATTTAATTAATAAATAAATTTCAATGCCTTTCAACCAAAAAAATATCAATAATTTTTCAAAAAAATAATAATACATTGAGCTAAAAAAAAATAATAATAACGAATTTACTTAATAAATATTAAATTTATTTTTTAAAGAGATATTAAAGAAAAAATTACTTAACTTACAATTAAATGTTTATGTGTGTGTATTTTTATTTCTTACTCTTAATTAGTACTCTTTTGTTAATATAATTATTTGACTGAAAAAGATATTAATTAAAAGTAAGAAGTAAAAATTAAAGACCTATATACACTTATGAAGATATTTGTCAAGATTTCTCAATATTAAATTTATTCAACATATATGAGATTTATTAGTTATTTTAGCTCGTAAATATAAACATCAGCCCTTCTTAAAAAAAAATAGAAAATAGCTATAAAATATGAATTATAAAAACTATTTTTTAGCTAAAAAAATTCGACTATAAATCGGCCATGTTTTGTAAATAACCTTTTCAACTAATTAATTCTTGTGGTTATTTACAAGAATTCGGTATCTTGCATTTTATTTTTAAGAAAATGTTTCTTTTCATTATTTTTCTAAATAAAGTACGTAAAATTATATAAAAAATCAAGAAATAAAAGGACATTATATCCTTTTATTATAAGGATTTTGATTTGATTTTCTTTCAGAATTTATTAAACATGTTTTAGACTAAAATGTTTGGGATTTCATTTTGTGTTCTAAAAACAACCTTAAATTTGGCTTTAAATCTTTGCCAATGTGAGGGTGAATTTTTTCCGAAAAATAAATTGATGACACGAAGTGCTCATTCTTCAAGCAATTCTACTAAAAACGACAATAAAAAGATAGAAAAGAGTGCAAAAGTCCAATTTGCATCAGTGAGAGAAAGAAAGAAAAAAGAAGTGCTACTAGTTTATTAACAAGGCTAAATTATAGCAAAATGAAATCCAAGTCTTCCTAAGGAAGACCATCAGTAATAAACAAATAATTATTGCTTATAGTTATAACTGAGAAACTAAAAATTCCATCTAGATATTTACACAGAATCCTATGATCAAGTACATCTTTACTTAATCAATGAAAGTTAGGACAAATATAGCAAAATTAAATCAAATTTCAAAAGTTTGGACTGACCACATAGTCAGGAACCAAACCTTCTCCATTCCCCAATTGATAATTGAAAGCTCCTGAGCCTGAGTTGATTATCTGTTCAGTGATGTCCAAACATGATGATGATGATGTCATTTGAGGAACATGATCGAAACCCGCCACCGCCGGTGATGAGACGGCAGCGTCGAGTAAACTGGAAGGACTAATTTGAAAGGAATTATCGGGCAGAGGCAAAGGAAGAGGCAGAGGTGGAGGGTTTTTCCATTGAGGAATTGGTGCAAGGAGAAGTGTTTGAAGCAATGGTCCTGCCTCCAACACAGCCTGCAGCAGCCTCCCTTTCTCGGGCAACGCCTTCCCCTCGACAACGAGCCTGTCCATCGGCGCAGCAGCCGATGAAGAACAAGCGCGCTGGTTATGATCCTCCGCAGCAATGTTGGTGTTGTTGATCAAGTTATAACAAGTGCCACTTATGTTGTCTGATTCCTCAACTAGTGTTGGAGAGTAAAAGTTTGTGAAATCAGGAAGCTTTGGGATCATGACATCATGATGATCAGATGTCATAGGTTTGAGGGCCAAGATTTTGTTCAAGAGGGCTTGGAGGTCATTTCTGGCTTCATCCCTTTCCTTTTGTGCTTCATCCCTTTCTTGCCATGCACTTCTAAGGAGACTAAGCAAGTGCTTTACTGTCTCATGGCTTTTGGCCCTCTCTTGCATTAATAAAGATTTTGCTGATTCGAATTCCAAGTTGGTGCAGAGAAGCTTGTTTTTCAGTTCATCAATGTTCTGGTATTTTTCAAAGGCGAATCAATGTTAAAGAGTACTAAATAGTTAGTCAATATACACAGATTCAAATGATCACTTGTCTAATTTTTGATACTTCAATTGATGTCTAACCAATCATATTATATACTTATACACACATTTTGTATAAATGCTAAATGCTATAACATACACAATCTCAGCATCACTATTGAACCATATTTTCAGTTGAAGAAGGAGAAGAAGACGAGAAATTACTTGTAGGATAGAAGTGACCCCATTTTAGACCTTAATTTGCAGGTTTATATACGTATACATATAGACATATATGGTGGTTACTTTGTTCAGAAAAATATGTTTATATATATGGAGGTTACTTTAAGACATGTAGATCTTTCAGACAAATTGGATATAATGTAAAGTGTAAACAATCTCAATAGACATCAATACTAGTAGAAGCAGCAAATAGCGCAAGGATTTAATGCAAACTAGTCCATATAAAAGAAATCCAACATTACTCTCAAGAAATCAGAATATTCAGAACCCTCTTTTTATTTATTTATTTGTTCTTAATAAGCAGATTTTATAATAGACAATTTTGAAGAAGGTAAACTTAAGCATTACACATGAGTAAATTAATGAAACAACAAACAAGAACCATAAAAATAATAAATAGTGAAAAACAATATCAGAAAGTATTCTAATTAAAACATACAAAATACAAACTAAAAATTATAAGCAAAAAAAAAAAAAGAAAAAGAAAAAGGTAGTTGTAATAAGATCTACTTCACAGTTATTCAAACAACATGACATTGACATATACCAAGTTGAAGTAATCAAGAAATCTAACACACATTACTCAAGATTTATTCTTGATAAGCAAATTTATAAATAATCTATTATGAAGTAGGAAAACTTAAGCAATATTACACAGGAATGAATTACGAAAACAACAAACAAGAACCATATAATCATAATAATGAAAAACGAAAACTTTGAAAACATGCCTTTCCAGGCTGAAAAAAATCAGAAGGTTCTAACAACACACAAATACAAACTAAAAATTAGAAGGAAAAAAAATAAAAGTAGTTATTATGAGAATTAACTATTTCATAATAAACTATTCAAACAACACGACATGACATGCCACGCTTATAACTATATGAATAAAAATAAATAAAAACTACACATCTAATTTGCCCAATATTGAAACCAATATATACAAGAAGCAACTTATGTACTTCAAACGTGCAAAGATCGAACACAAACTAAAAAGAAAAGACGGATTGAAAGGAAAAGACCCACCTCTGAATTAGTATTCCACATCTTTTTCTCGTCTCCTTTTGTTTTGATTTTCTCTCGGAACAAACAGCAATGCAGAAGTGGTAGGATTAGGGCACAAGGGTAAGAATTTAAGAGGACTGAATTAACAATAATCATGATCATAAAAGGGTAAGTACCAAAAGGAGTTAGAAGGGGCCGTACGGTGGTGTTGACTTCTGCAAAAGCTTCCATAAATAGTAAATATTAATCCAATATGGAAGAGTATAAGGAATGTTAAGAGGAAACTTTCTATAAATTATTTCATTTATTTAAAGGCTTGACGTCTCTATTTTTGTCTTAAAATCTCTGAGAGATTATCCTCCATGCATAGAGGGATTTTGTCCCCTCCTATATAATATTCGTATGTGTGTATGAAGTGTATATATATATATATATATATTTATTAAATTTGCACACAATAAAATGTGAGTATCATTATGTCACGTGATAGTTTTAATTATGTGACGTCAATTTAAATGTGTCGTTATATATGTAATATTTTTTTTAAATATATATACATATATATATAGGAATTGTATCTGGTCAGGCACTTGGAAAGTGCCTGACCAGTTAGGCACTTGTATAATCGTGTATAAATTATGTATATTTATACGTAAATCATGTATATTTACATGTAAAGTCATGTATATTTAACATGAAATATAATAAATCAATCAATATACATATTTTCATGCTATGTGTTCACTAATTGCTATAAAAAAAACATGTTTTGAGGATTAATATACATTGTCATTTCTTATAACTTAACATACATGATTTATATGTAAATATACACGATTTACATGTTAATCTACACGATTGCATAATTATACAAGTGTCACGTAAATATACACAACTTACGTGTGAATATACACACTTTATATAAAAATATACAAGTGCCGTTCTGATCAGGTATTTTTCAAGTGCCTGACCAGAGACCTTGCCTATATATATATATGATAATTGCATTAGGAATCATTAAAAAAATGATTTTTTTTTTCAATAAGAATTAAGATGGTCTGTGTTGTTGCTACATGTGGTTCTTAATGTCACATAGTGACGTGAGGCACATGATCAAGATCTAAACGTAAGCTTTGAAGCCCAATCATAAGAGCTGTACTTTTTCTCTGACTCCTGTCGAAGTGGTTAAAAAAAAGGATATTTTAATCAATGATTTAAGATTTCTTTCAATAATCTTAGGCCTTAGTGAAGTTTCTTCATAATCCAGTATATTTTTGAACGCCGAATCTATGAATGTTTGAACAATATTGGGCCCGTTTAATTCACTGATTCGAATTTTTAATTTGAGTTGAGATGTGATTTTATGTGAGAGCTTTTTACTGTAGCAAAAAAGTTAAATGTGATTATTTCTGAGAGCTTTTTACTATAGCAAAACTTGAATCGGTGAAATAAACGGAGCTTTAATTTATTTCTTGGTGTAAGACTAAATTTCCTGCTGCTAAACTTCTCCAACATCAATAGTACATCTAATGATTATTGTGTTGCATTTTTCATTTCTATATATTATATAGAAGGAATCTCTCACAAAATAAACCATAAAAAAATTCTACATATATATATTCATAGGTTATATATCATATCTTGAAGATAAAATAATAACAAATATTATATCGTAAGTAGAGCTACAAATTTAGGTTGAAAAAATGGGCAGTCTGAGGCCATCATTGTTGGCTGGATTGGGCCGAGGTTCTAAACTTGAACTCCCTTTTTGAAAAAATACATTATAAAATTCTAAGTTGGGCTTGACTGATTCTCTTCTTTTCAAGATTAGGCTGACCCGACCCGAAATTTTTATTCAGACCACCACACAAACCGGGCAGTATGAACGTTCACCACTATGTAATGTAACTATCATATATGCTCCATATAGCGTAAGCCGTCCATGGACTTCCAAACCAAAAATGTAACCTTTCATTATCATATAAGATTTGTTCCTTCCAAAAGCTAAATCGTGAAGTAAAAGCAAAATATTTCTTCCCTTGTATTCGCAAAATAAAACAAAAATGATTCTGATATTCTAATGGCTGGACAATTACATTACATGATTGTTACATGCTTGTAGTGTAGTTCAAGCGTTCTTTTCTTATTATTATTATTATTATTTTTTAATACAGTTCAAGCGTTATTGGTTAACACTATAAACGAAACTTGTCATAGCATTTAAAAGAAATCTCGATTAGGAAAATATATATATGGTGTGATGCAATGTACGTGTTGTTAAGACTGACACGTAAAAGTGTAAGATCTAATGATTTTATTTTCACCAGTTTTATATGATACATATTAATCGTGATGAATGGAGGCAAAATCTTGATGTACACGGGCAAAAGCTTATTGCCTTTATAGCGTTTGGTTGATGTATTCGTATTATGATTTGAATTATGGTTCGTAGTTCGTTACGATATTTTTTCTCATAAAAAACACAAGTAAATTGAGAATGGTTCTGAATCATGATTCTAGTTGATGTAATCTATGTGTGATATTGTTAACATCAAAATCTGGAGAATCAAACTGGAGAATTTGAGATTTTTCTCATAATTAACTAACTTTTGGTACTGATTATTCTTTAGTTAACGATTACAAGTTGCTAGAGAGCTAATAAAAAGTTGCCACGTGCATGTTTTCAAACTAATTCTCTGACTAGCTAAACATGTTTTCAAACTAAGTTACACCAGTTTTTTTTATCTTTTTATACAAGATAAAATGTAAAATAAATGAATTAAAAAATAAAGAAGGATTAGCTATATAGAATTATAATATTACATGTACGAATACAAGACACGTAAAAACTTAACTACAATACTAATAATTTTTTTGCCAATAATTTGTTTTAATCTACCTCATATGTTATGAAGTTGCACTTTCTAGAGTTTATCTTTGGGATGATCTCTATTGATGGAGGCAAAATCTTTATGTACACGCACAAAGGCCTATTGCCTTTATATTTATATTTAAAATGTTAAATTTATTTATTTTTTTTTACATAATTATTAAGCTTAGAAAGTTGTAAAAGTAAAATTATATGTTAAAAAAATTAAAAAAATTACAAAAGTTGTAATGATTACATGAAAAAGTAAACATTTCAACGAATAGCAATCAAATGTTAAATTTCTCTTATAGTGGGAAGTTTACCATAAAGTATAACATATGAGAAATATAACACAATAAATAGTATTGCATTAGAGAGTGTTTTTTATACTCAAATATTAAATTTACAATTAGCACATCAATTATAGCATTCTATTAAAGATGCTCCTATTATTTTGAACTTGGAAGTGAGGATTCAAACATCGAACTTTATTATTGAAGGTTGGTGTTGATTCATGTTAGGGTATGTCTGCGGTCATAAAACTTTATTCTTTCTTATCTTTATATTAGTTGAACAACACATGCTATACACTTAGAGAATAATCTATGCGTTAAGTTTTAATTACCGTGTTATTATTTAAAGCATATAACATATGAATATAAAATTCTAAAAAGGAACTAAAATGAAAGAAAAGGTAAAATTTCAGGATAAGAAGCCAAAAAAGAGTCCAAAAGGACTAAAATGAAAAAAAAAGTAAGTTTTCGGCTAAGAGGACCAAAATGGAAAAAATAAAGTTACAGGA